GGACACGCCCCCATCACAGTCTGGTCTACAAGGTGAGTTCCAGGAGAGTCAGAGCTGTTACATGGAGAAGCCCTGTCTCAAAAAAAAATGAGAGAGGGGGGGGCAGGAAGGCAGGAAGGAAGGAAAGAAGGAAGGGAGGAAGGAAGGAAGGAAAGCAAAGTGTCATTTCCCTGACTCAGGATCTTTAAAACTCGCTGGAATATTTTGAGCTAAAGTTACCCACCAGAAGGTATATCCAAATACACCATTAATTTCACACATGAAAAGGCCATTAACACCTCTTCACTCATGTTAGGAATCGTGTCAGCTGAGTGGAAGGAAACAATGGGAGAGGGTGAGGATATTAAGCCCAAAGTGCTTCCTGATTGTTTTAATGAGGGGAAGAAAATTCCATGACTCCGCATCCCTGTTGCACATGTGTGGCCTTTTGACTGGGGAACAGGACAAAGAAGCTCCCTTCAAGAGAATGGATGGCGATGCCCTATGGGAGTGGTCTTTAATCCCAGCACTAGGAAGGCAGAGGAAAGCAGATCTCTGGGAGCTCCAGGACAGCCAAAGATACACAGAGAAACCCTGTCTTAGGTGAAAAAGGGGAGTGAGAGGGACAGAGAGAGATATAGACAGAGAGAGGAAAGAGAGAAAATATGAAACCGGTCTCTGTGCTGCCTCAAGAAAATGCCAAGGTTCAGTCTATTCAATAGGCAGCCTGAAAGGATTGAAAGATATCGTTTTTAGAATGCACACTCATATACACACACACATGCACACATATCACACTCACATATACATACATAGCACACACATACACACATGGGCACACACACATGCACACACGTACACACAGGCATACACACACACATCACAGAAAACCGCATGGTAGTCTTTTCTTCCATTTACAACCTCCCAATCACTCAGACTCACAAAAGTGACAGATGTCACTATATTTGCCTCTTAGAACATAGCTTCTTACAGGAGTGAAGAATTTAGTCATTGGATAGGAAGTTTGTCATTGGCTTGGAATTTAGTCATGGATATAATGCTAAGGTAAAAGTCACTGAGGGCCTGGAGGACAATGTCCCACACCACCTTCCCCATCCCCTGCTCACTGTATGTCACCTCAGTTCCTTCTGGTGAACAGTTCTCTGGATGTCACAGGTAGAAATTAGAAGACAAAAGTGGATGGCTGCAGCCTGCTCTGATTGGCTGATTCTGAAGTCTGCAGGTAGAGATAAAGAACACAATTTGGCTAGTCAGAGACAGCCTGACCTCGATGAGCTAAGCTGATGGGATTTGAGATCAGAGTCCCCCTTCCATTGCCTCTTAGTCAGATCCCCAACATCTCCATTCTCCACCACCAACTGACTTACAATACATGGGTGCCTTGGGAAAGGTCCAGGGTGGCAGCAGGGGGGTGGTGTCAGAGAATCTTAGTATCTGCACTGGGACAGCTGGAAGTGGCACTCCTAGCCATCTTGGGAGCTGCAGTGAGTCACAACACCATGATTAACATAGAAGTGAGCAGCACTACAAGTTTTAAAATGTACTTTTGTCTGACTCCCCTTGCAGTAGCTACGTCATTCTCCATATCTTGAGGAGGAAAGCAGTGTGGTCAAGCAGCAGTTACTCTGGCTAGATTGCCCAGGTTTGGAAGCTAGCTGTATCACTTCCTTCTCATGTGTCCTCGGTAGAGCAACCAACTTAACTCTGGGCCTGGTGTTCCCTCCCAGAAATAGATAGACAAATGATGTCCACCTCATGCAAGTTATTGTAGGTTCAACACAAATAAAAAATGAACCAGAGAGATGACTCAGTGGGTAAAGGGTTTGCTGCCAAGTCCAACAACTTGGGTTTAAGTGTCAGACCCACATGGTAAAATAACAACCAACTCCGTCAAGTTGTCCTCTGACCTGCAAACCTGTGCTGTGGTGCTCCCTCCCATGCTAAATAAAGGAAAAAAAGCTTTAAATGGAAAGAGCTAAGAGCTAAAATTTTTACAATAGTCTCTTGCATGGCAGAAGGGCCAACAGAGGTTGGGTGTTGCCACTTTGTGTACAGATAGAGCACAGGCCACGTATCTGCAGAGTCACAAAGTAGACACACAAGTAGGCATTATTTAGATATATAATCTTCATGTGTGGGTGACAGGCATTTTAATCTGGAAACTCACAAATCTGCCCTGGCACTGGCAAGTGAAACTCATCAGGTGAGTCTCTACCTTCTTGAGAGAACACCCATGAAATTAGACATGGTACATGTCTATATCCCAGCATCCAGGAGGTGAAGGCAGGAGAATTGGGAATTCAAGGTCACCCTGAGCTATACAAGCCAAGTTCAAGGTCAACCTGAGATCTTGGAGAGGAGGTGGGGAAAGAAGAGAGGGAGTGGTTATGGGTGGATATTCAGGAACAGAGATGGCCAGACTCGGAACTGCCAATCATCTGAAAGCAAACAAAGAGCCTCCTCCCGAAGCTGGAACCTTCTTTTCTCTATGAATCTAATGAAGTTACCAATGTTCAGGAAAGCAGTATTCCCTTGTGGTAATTGTCTCTCTGTTACTCGGCCTCTGGGCTCCTTTGTAGAGCCTGTGAGAACATTCTGGAAGTGAAACTGAATTGTGAGAGAGAGGCTATTCCTTTCAGCATCTTCCTCTTGACCTAGAAGCCCTTATGGGGAGACAGTAGCATAAAGGACTGCACTCTTTTTCCTGGGCTGTCTCCCTCTGGATGTCTAAAGAGCCTTCCATCCATCATCATCATCATCAAATAATATTTACTATTTGTTTTGTGCCCAGCAGTGACTCAAGAACTATCATTCATCAGATTTAATGCTCTATCGAGACGGCCTGGTAGATAAAGGCACTCACCACTAAGCTTGACTACCTGAGGACCTGAGTTTGATTCCCAGGCTCTACACAGTGGAAGGAGAGAACTGACTTCTTTGAGTGGTCCTCTGACCTCTGAGTGTGTACTGCAGTGTGTTCACACTCAGGTACAAACAAATAAATAGAATTATTTTTTTAAAAACTCAAATTGGATAGAAGTCATCTTTTAAAAAGAAGGGGGGGGCTGTATGTGTGAGGTGAATAGGACCATAACTCATTGTAGCTACAGATGGACCTATAACTAGGAAGTTGTAAACTAATTTTAAGAAGAGAGTAATTTGAGTTCTCCAAGGTGTATGCCTTTAATTCTAGCACTTGGGAGGCAGAGGCAGGTGGATCCCTGAGTTCGAGACCAGCCTGAGCTACAAAGTGAGTTTCAGGACAGCCAAAGAAACCCTGTCTCAGAAAAAGAGAGAGAGAGAGAGAGAACCAATGACTTCCCGCTACTTGGTCCTGCACAGAAAGTAGTGGACAAGCATCCCTGCTGCATGAGGGGGCCAGGCATCTGCCTATAGTCAGCTACCTGGGAGGTCAAGGCAGCAGGCTCCTTCTGAAGCTACCATGTGGCTAGTTCAATCACACTTATAATTTTATTTCCAGCTTCGATTTGAGCTGATGGGATCAGTGGCAGCTATGCTCTTTATTGGCTCTGTAGTTGTCTAGGCTTATCCTGACTAAGAGGCACAGCATGGGTGGCTTGAACAACAAGACTTCCTGTGTAATAGTTCTGGAGACCAGAGGTCTGATGAGATTAAGGCACCAGCCTGTTGGTTCCTTCGTGGACTGACTTGGGGATGCTATCCCATGTCCCCTCCTAGGTTCCTGTGATTTGCGGACAATGCCTTGGCTTACAGATATTCCTCTGATCCCTGCTTTCATGATCATAGGGTCTTTTCCCACATACATGCCTATCTCTGTGTCCAGTGCTCCCCCATTTATAAGGACACATCAGAGTTTGTTTGGGCCTTATCTGAACTTGATCACAGAACCCAGCTCCAGATACATCACATATCCTGTGTGTGATGGTTAATAGTGACAGTCAACTTGGCAGGACCTAAAAATCACATAGGAGATGTACCCCTGGGCATGTCTTTGATGGTGATTTCAGAGGAGGGTTAACTGAGGTGAGGAGACCAAGGCATGCTACACAATCTCATTGGCTAGGGGTCTGAGCCAAGTAAATTGGAGAACCTGAGCTAAGCTTCAGCGTTTGCTCTGTCTACTTTGTGACTGGAAGTGAAATTGAATTGTGAGGGAGAGGCTGTTCCTGTCAGCATCTCCCTCTTGACCTAGAAGCCCTTATGGGGAGACAGTGACATAAAGGACTGCACTCTTTTCCCTGGGCTGTCTCCCTCTGGATGTCTAAAGGGCCTTTCCATCCATCATCATTATCAAATAATATTTACTACTTGTTTTGTGCCCAACACTGACTCAAGAACTATGCATTCATCCGATTTAATGCTCTATCGAGATGGCTTGGTAGATGAAGGCACTCACCACTAAGCTTGATGACCTGAGGACCTGAGTTTGTGATCAGCTTCAGTATGTCCCTACCATAGTGGACTGTGTGCTCAAACCATGGGCTGAAATAAAGCCATGTCTGCTGACATTGCATCAGATCACAGTGAAAAAAGTAACTAATACACCGGGGTTCAGCGCCACAACCTCTTTGAGGGAGTCACAATCCAACCCATAGCTTTGGTGGAAAGAGAGTTAAGTAGTATACTTTATTTGGGGATCCTCTTTGATATTCTTAAGGGTTTGCCAAAAAACAAAAGCCTCCTTCTGTTAATAGATATCTCTTCCTCATGAAGACACTGCATTTTTATCCTGGCCTTTTGTGTGTCAGAGTGTATATGTCTGTATGTTTGTGTCTCTGTTTCTTTGTGTCTGAGTACATGTGTATATCTATCTATTATCATCATCATCTATATAACATCTATCTACCTATGAATCTATATATATATCATCTATCTACCTATCTATACATCTATCATTTATCATCTATCTATCTATCTATCTCTACCTCCCCTACCACCATCCCCTGTGTGTCTTTGTCTATGTGTGCTATTTCTAATACTGACCATTACATCCTACTTAAAAAGTTCTTTGTTTACAGGGCCAACCTGGAGATTACCTATGCCAAGGGACTTCAGAAACTGGCAGTCAAACTGAGCAAAGCACTACAGAGCACAAATAAAAAGTAAGTCACCATGACACAAATAAAAAGTAAGTTACCAGACAAAGGTAAGGCGAAAATCCTTTAAAAAAATTAAAAGTGAAAATTTCTCACTCACAGCTTTTCCCCACACTCATGGCTGGTACAATCCTACCAACCATGGCCTGCAAATTTTGGGGATATATTCTGGTCCAGGCACAACCTCAAATACTTAGTGGATCATAACAGCCCTTGAAAGTTCTTTGTTTGTTTTTTGTGTTTCCAGACAGGGTTTCTCGTCTCTGTGTAGCTTTGGAGCCTAACCTGGCACTCACTCTATATACCAGGCTGGCCTCAAACTCACAGAGATCTGCCTGTCTCTGCCTCCCGAGTGCTGGGATTAAAGGCATTCGCCACCACCACGCAGCCAGTAATGCTTTTTGATCTAGAAAGTAGTGTTAAGCCAGGAGGTCTTAGAGGCACTAAGTGTGAATTCCATATTATCTCCAGTGACTTTTGACAAGGATCTTGGTCTCCCTGTTCCTCCACTGCTTCCTATATGGGGTGCAGACATGCTCATCTGTGTATTTGAGTGTGTGTGTGGGTTGTGTTGCGTCATGCAGCCTGAACGGTAAATGAAGTAAACTGTCTGAAGGGCTTAGCACGTGAGGCACACTCAGTATTTTGCAAAAATAAGAAAGGTCCATTACTGATAACTTGCTATGACGCTTTTGTGCTAATGCATGCAGATATGACCCTGAACTTGCAGAGTTCTTGCTGAGGCTCCTCATGGTGAAGATAAAGAGGTTGTGGAACGGGGAAAGCTTCTAGAACCACACTTCCCACTCCTGCTTGGGCACCATTGTGATGATAGCAAATAGCTTGGAAATTGCTTGGGTTCTCGCTCCGCTTTTATTTTTAGGGCAATATCTTGGTAGACTACAAAGAAGTCAGTACAGTGGAGTGATGGGGTTTAGACAGATTTCCACTTGGCCTGCCAAGTTTAAACTCTAGTTCTACCCCTTACCAGGTGAGTGGCCTCGGGCAACTCATTGTTTTTCATCTAGATGTCTCTTTAAGACGGAAATGAAACTGAATGACTTGGTACTGATGTAAGTCTACTGAGGCAGGAGGATTGCCATGAGTTTGAAGCCAGCTTGGGCTACATAGGGAATTTCAGGCTAGTGTGGCTACAGTGTGAGTCCCCTGACTGAAAGAAACATGAATAATAATAATAAATATAATATAACATACAAACAAAAATAAAACCCATTCCCCAGTTACTGAATTAAATGAAATAATACAAGTCTACGTAGCAGAGCACCCAATGAGGAGGGGAACTCCATGAATGGCCATTTTGATTTTGATTCTAATAATTAAATTACCTCCTAAATGCCACCATAGCAACCCTAGCATTAAAATAGCAGACATGCTCAGAATGGTCAGTGAGCCAGCACGGTACTGTATTTAGTGATTAGAGTTGGTTGAGTATTCCTCTATATCAAAATCTGTGTTAGATGCTTGCGCAGATATCCCAATGTGTTATTTTACAAGATCAGCTTAGTGAGGCTCAGAAAAGCCAAGTGAGTCTTCCAGGGTCACAGAGGAAACCAGCGCCAGGGATATCTACTTTCCAACCTGGGCTCTGGGCTCTCTGGGGCCCACATGATCCATTTCCTGCCAAGACATCCAGCACCTGTGCAATCACCTGGGGGGGTTCTCTTTGTGGAATAAACACAATTATATTTGGCTTAATTTCCATGAAATGATAAACACTTACTTGTTATTGGAGCCAATGTCCCATGCAGCCTGAGCTGATCACTAATTCCTTATGTAACCTTGGATGACTTGATCCTCCTGCCTCCACCTCTAGCAGCACTAATTTTACATGCAGGTTTGGTCCAGTTTAATAGACGTGTACACTGCAGAACTAACCACCACCAAAGGCAGACATTGTCAACACACCCCAACTTGCTTCTTCCTGTTTGCATCCCGGCCCTCATTCTCACCCAGCCACCACTCACCCCCTTCGTGGGAACGTGAATTAATTTTATCTTTCCCATAATCTCCTGTCACTGGAAGCACACAGTAGGCACTCTCTGGTGCTGGATTAGACTGTAGAAACCCTGGCCTTTGGTATGGTTTTCCTATTGTCCCAGTGCAGGATGAAGACTCGGCCACTGGAGGCGCACTTCTGATCCATTCCGATTCTGACAAGGATGCCACTTCCTCCCTTCCTCTCCATCAAAAGTGGCACGGGCTCTGTCCCTGCAGTTAACTAGGGCAATTTGTCCTGACTTCCACGGATGCCTTATGAACTCCGAAAAGCTGACTTCTGATATGGGAGAAGATAGTATCAGGCTTCCTTGTCCTCCCTCTATGCCTCCAGGAACACGGCACTGACCCTCTTTGTGTTCATTGGACACAGGGCCAGGAAAGATCTGAATCTGTCTTAAAAGTCAGCATGGTGCAGGATTTGGACTTCAACCCCAAGAGCAGCACAAATAACGTGGGAGGGACTTCGGCTCAAATTCTGTGTCACTTACGTCCCGAAAGACCTGGTTTATTGGTTCATTCATCTGTAAAATGAGGGACCAGAAATTCCTCCCCTTCACTTGTTCCTTCTCTTGGCCACTTTAGTTTCCAGATTTTCTGCAGACATAAAATAGAAAGACAAAAATCCAAATGAAAAACAAATAAAAAGAAAGACTGGGGGAAAGCGGTGTGTATAATGTCTGTGGTTCGAATAAATACACTGGCTGAATTTCATCTCAAGGAGAGACTGAAACTGCAGCAAGGGGACCAACAGGAGGGCGAGGGCAGTTCAGGGGCTGTAATGCTCGATTTCTCAGCTCTCACTAGGAAATGACACTCCCCCCCCTTTTTTTTTTTGTTTCTAGCTGTCTCAGCATTGCCTGGGCTTGGGCCTCAGAGAGCATGAAATCTGCAGCAGACCTACATCAGTGAGTGCTTCCAGGAACGCAGTCCCCGTACCCATGCCCACCTCCCACGCCCACCCACACCTTTGCCCCTACTCTGAAGGGAGATGTCACACTTTTAGAAGTGGGTGGGTGCCGATACCCCACTTCAAACCTGCACTGAGCAGATACGCTGTAACTTGCCATGCATCTCCCCAGAAATTAGGACAGTAGATGGAAACCCAGGACAATGATGCGCAACCTTATTATGTTCTATTTCCAGAAAACTTGGCAAAGCAATTGAGTTGGAAGCAATAAAGCCGACGCATCAAGTCCTGAGTATGCAAGAGAAGAAGAGGAAATCGGTGAGTCAGAGCTTCTCTTTTCTCTTCAAAGCAAGATTTCTAGGGCTGGGTATAACTCAGTGGCAAAAACAAAACAAAACAAAAAAACTTGCTACTCATGCTTGAGGCCCTAGGTTCAAACCCCGGCATAATAAAATGGTCCTAACAAACAAACTTATAACAGAGAGGAAGGTGAATTTTAGGCTAGCAAATTTCATATATGATATTAAATGAAAATGCAATATGAAAGAAATCTAATAAGTAATAGAATCTCAACTGAAAGACTCTTCCCAAAATGTTAACAAGAATTACTTTGAGATGATAAAATTAAGGTTATTTTCTATTTTTTGATACTTTTAAAATGGTCTTTACAATTTTGTTAACTCTATCACAGAGCACAGTGTGTTCCAAAAGATACTTTTCTGCTTGCCAATGTGAAATTACTTAAAGGTAATGATAGTTACAACCCTTGGATATTCTCAGGACTAAAGGAAGCACTAGGCATGCCTCTCCAGGACAGATGGTCGGTGTCAGCATGTCTCCTGCCCTGAAATAGGTTTTAACTACGAGGTTTGATATGCATGGATATTTAATTAATAGCAGTGACTAAGCAAGAAAGCAACAATTTTTCTTCCTGCTTTTCTTTTCGGTAGCTTGATAATGAAGTTGAAAAGACAGCAAGTCTTGTTATTAACAACTGGAACCAGCAAATCAAGGCAAGTATACACAAACAGCATTTACAGAAACTCAGTTTTTAGGATGAGACTTCTTGCTTCTGTGCACACGTATTGGTGTGTCCTCCTGCTTTTCTGCACACCCACTGAAGAGAAAATAACTCACGTGAGTTATTATATAAATGTGTCATTCAACTAATCCAAGGCAGAGGATGGCTCAAAGTATGGTTACTGTTCATGGTTAATATTTAGGTAGTGTTTCTTATGTGCCAAGAGCTGCATGTTTGTAAGGTGATACATGACTTTGGACTGTCAAGGTTATTTCCAAGGTTTTGAATCTGGTTAATGGTTAAACCAAGAAGTCTTAGAAGTTCTTGGACTCCAGAGTCATTGTTCTTTTCCATCATATTATATTGGCTGCCTCTCTGTGAAGTTTGCAGTTTAGGCAAAGTAGCAAACACCAATTTGGTTTTCTATTTGTATAGGCTGTTAGTGATCTCTACCTTGGTATGGAGTGTGAGGAGTGTGGTGATGTCAATGGGAACACCTGTGTTGATTCTACAAGTGCACATAGTCTACCTTTTGTAAATACTACACTAAGGTCTGCTCCTAGTTTTCAATTGCTTGAAAACTTAGTTGACCAGATAACAAATGCAGGAAACAGCACATGAGTCCTTCTAGATAAATTTTGATTTGATATGAGAAGCTAGAGAATTCCATTACTGGTTCTTAAGCTACAGAAATGGCAGATGAGGTCCATATGTACAGAAGATTATTCTAGAATAATCCTGTGTAGGAGGAGTTGCTTTGAGTAAGAAGGATAAGAAGCCAGGGAATCTGCTAAGCAAACCCAATCATGTCCCTGAAGAAGATGTACATTCCAAGAGTTGAACTCTTCCTTTTCATCTCCCAAATGTCAATAGCCCAAAAGAACCTTTGCAAGTAAATATCCACCTATACCACCAGAGATGCCCTCAGAAGCAGCCCTCCTCAGGTTTGTTTCTGAAGCTTCTGCTGAAAGCGAAGACTCCAGAGACCAAGATGAAAACTGTTCTAGACAAACAAATCCCTAGTCTTGTGGTAGATGTACTGATATAGAGGCCCAGGAAAGTCACATTGAGAACTTATCTCAGAGCCCAAAAAAGCATCTGAACGCTTGTCTTTAATTTTGCTCTTGATTATCTCAGTTTTTTTAAAAAAAGGGATTTGTTTTGAAAGAACAATTGTCTGTAAACACTTGAGTTCTCACAGGAAAGTCAGTACAATGGATCAAAAGTTAGAGACAAAGTTCTATAGCTGGTTGCTTCAAAGAAGAAAAAACACCTCCTACTATTCCCCAGTTTCTGATAAGTTTCTTTTCTAAATAAAATGATTTTATTGTTTTATGAAGAATGACAATCATTAGATCACATGGAATTCTTGAGCTGTAATCATTTCCTCCCTCATTTCAATACAAGAAGAGGTTCCACATGTCGGTTGTAAAGTGCATGTCTGCTTCGGACACAAAATTGCAAATTCTGAAGGACCAAGGACCAAGTACTCTTGATTTATCATCAGGCATATGATGGGATGACTAGAAGAGGGGCTGTGGGCAGCTTGTTCCTTGAACTCCCTTGTGTAACATCTTCACAAGTTTCAAGGAAGCTTTGCCACTGACTCCCAAAGTCCAGGGAGTCCTGGACTTTCCCCTGACATTATTTCATTTTACAGTCTGAACTCTCAGTCTGGGCTTGGTTGTGTATTCCAGCATTTGAGAGGCCAAAGCCCCAGAAGAGGGAGGGTGAGTTTAAGGTGAGTTAGCAAATGTCTAACTCTCTTGCATATAATACCCAATAATTGTGACAAAATACACAGTGATTCCCTACCAAAATATTTGCTGCTGTAGTATTTTGAGCATATTTTGAGATAAAGGATGGGAACAAAGAAATAAAAACACAACAATCATTTACAAACAGACCTCATCCAAAACAGAAGAACTTTTCTCTAAGTAGCAGTTTCTGCTTCATTTTTTCCTCTTCCCTTCTCTTGCTCATATGTTTCTGTCTCTAGGCTAAGAAAAAATTAATGATGAGTACCAAGAAGCATGAAGCACTTTTCCACCTTGTAGAAAGCTCCAAGCAGACCGTGACCCAGAAGGAGAAACAGAAGGTGAGGAGCCATCATGGCAGCAGGTACACACAGCTTAGAGGTGTGACTTCCTGCCATCTGCAGGAAAACAGGGAACTGGCTGGCCCCTCCCTCTGCAGGGATCTGTAGGTTGGGCGAGCATGAAGGGCTCTTCAAAAGTCACTGTGGGCTATATAACATTTTTGAACTGTATCACTGATATGGCATATTAGACTTGCAGTGTCCACAGCTTTGATAGAGAACCCTATTTTTAAAAAGAAAATCTCAGCTCCCACTTCAAATAGTAAATATATATCCTTTACATTTACATAATGCTATATATAACATTTTGCATATTACACTAATACATTGTGAACATTATAAAAAATTAGAAATGCTTATAAGATGAGAAAAAGCTAAAATGGCATTGGAAGTGGGTAGCTAGCCATGGTATGATCATATAACCAGGAAATAATGATCATTAAATAAGTATGCAAATAAAATACACCTTGAGGGAAGGTTAGGAATTAATCACAATAAACATAAATTTATATTCCTATCATTCATCTTGGCAATTTGAACTTTTAAGATAGTAAGCTATACATTTTACATTAAGTTCTTGTCACACCTTCCTACATCACCCAGATTTTTCTTTTTCCTGTGAATAAATGATATATTTGTAACAATGAGCAGAAGAAAGTATCCACTGAGATGAGCTTCGTTCTTCTTCATGGTTTCTTCCTTAGTGAAAACAACCAAGCATTCCTGACAGAAATGCTTTAAAGACACTAGCGTGCTTGTCACTAGCTTATCTAAAGTCAGGTAATGCATGTAGAAACCCACACGACCAGACATATGCCAATGGACCACAAGTTCTGTGATGCTGGAAGTGAAGGCCTTTGTGAGGCCTCACAGCAGCTCCTTCCTGTTGCAGAACCCCTGATTCTCCCAAGACACTTCAGAATGCTAACTGTCCATGTGCAGGCCACAACATTGACTCATGGGTTAAATAAGAGTAAACAGGACAACTGTGTTCTTAGACAAAAAATGAACACAAGTGATGTTGGGCTCTACCTCAAAAGATTATCTAGCCTAACTATTGTAGTATGTGTTACATATTGGAAACTAAAACATCCCACGCTTTCTCTAACATGAAGTCTCCCCAAGGAAAGCAGCCCAGCACCATTACAGTCCCAAAGACCCTTAAAAAGGAAAAGAAAATTGTCATCACCAGTGGCTCTGTTATTTCATCTGAAGAAATTGCTTGCTGAGTAACTTAAATTCACTGTTAGCAAGATTCGGAAGGTTCTTATTTCTTCACATGTCAGTCTTCACAGTTCAAAATGATCAGAACAAGTGTTGAATAATGAGCAGCCACGGAGGAAGCTAATTCATAATATGTAGAGATTCTCAGCACCCGGACATGTCCAAGCCTTCCCAACCCTCATTAGAAGCTATTCTTCCTTGATGTCAAGAAACTGCAACAACAGAAAATCTGGTGCAGTTGAGGGGTGCATTTCTTCTTTCATCATTAGTAGCTTCCCTGGGGGAAGGAGAGAGGAAGCTAGCAGTGCCCTCCCCCCGCCTTCCTCCAGTAGATCTGTAACCATGACCTCTGCATGTGATGACACCGCAGATCCCTCCCGTAGTCGCTGCTTAAACTAGCATCTGCTTTTTCCTCGTTTTTCTGTTTTAAGTGAACACCAGACCTGGCTTTCATTTCTCAAGCACACGGAAGTGCCCTATCATCAGTCGAGTCTCCCCTGAACCATTCCGCAGCAGTTCTTCCTGTTTTCCTGCTAAGCAATCCCAGTTTGCCATGGAAGCCAGCCTCGACCCCCATCTTCTTCCCACATCTGTGTTTTCTACCCATTTCCAAAGGCCTGCCACATTTCTACTCACTTTTATCTGCGTATCTGCAAGGGAGAGCCCAGTTCATCCCATGTTCCAAGGCTGTGCCACCCTGCCTCTCAGAGCCTCTTCTTTTTACCCTTCTTGTCCTGTCTTAGACAACACCCTCCTGCCCCACAATGTTTCTTCCCATCAGTCTTCTGAATTCTCAGGTCTGTCTTGGTCTCTTTGAGATGCTATAAGAAGTTATCACAGCCCAGACAGCTTGAACAGCAGAATGTATTCCTCATAGACTTTAAAACAAAAACCTAAATAAAATGACTTAACTAACCTACAAACAAAAATATTACATGGCTAATTTAAGGAAGCTGCCCAAATACTTGCCCTTTTTGTACATCTTACTGAACTTCTATATAGTCAGAATGGCCATAGTTCTGGAATCCTAGAGACCAGGAGCCATGGTGGTCTGATTCTGGTGAGGGTCAAGACTTCAGGCATCTCTTCATAGACTCATAAGGCAAGGAGAGCTCTGGGTTCCTCTCTTGAGGTCGTTGATCTCATTCATGAGGGCTCCACTCTTGAGACACTTTCCAAAGACTCCCACTTCTAAGGCAATAATGTAGAGAAATTAGAATTTAACATAGCATTTTGGGGACATTCATCCACTTACTCCAATGCACTTCCTGCCTTGGGAGAGTAGGAGTTAGAGGCAACTTTTCATGGTCCTATCTGATGGGGAAGTCCTGTGCATATGTCAATAAAGCACTGTTGGCCAATAGGGAAGCAAGATAGGTGGAACTAGGAGTTAAGGAGGATTCTGGGAAAGAAAAATACACAGGCAAACACCATATAGGCCACCAGAGTAAGACGTCTGGACCCTTTTCTCCAGTAAAAGAAATACTTAGATTAACATTATGGGTTAAATACTTAAGTCAGAGCTAGCCAGTAAGAAACAAGCAAACGGCCAACAGCTTCATAATTAATATAGTGTCCTGTGTGTTATTTGGGGACTGCAGCTGTGACAGGGCCCAGGCGACTGGCAAGGAAAACTACACTCTACATATGGTACCAGGAGTGCGGTTAAATTTCCACATAAAATGACAAAAGCTTTAAAGGGATTCTAAAAACAAAAGAACAGAAAGAAGCACGGCTTCTGTTAACAACATTTTTCTCAGGTGGGCTCTGTTTTGCTAGAGACAGAGACTTCCGTGGCCAGTGTGATAAACTTACGCCTACCATCTTGGGAAAACTACAGTTTTAACAGCCGTAGTTTTAACAGATAAGACACGTGGCCAAAAAAACATAAAGATTTACAGTAAAGCCAAATTCAGATAAAAAAAAAACCTCTAAAGGTTTACAGTGTGTTTAAAAATTACATAGGCTTAAGAGAGAGAGAAAAAAGAGACAGTCTTGTCTTTTAACTTTATCACCATCCCATTCTTGGTTCCCTTACATCTCTGGATATTTTGTCTTTGGCTCCTTTATGGATGTCATTTTTTCCACCCGGCCCTTATATATTGCTGTACCTGAGGATTTTTCCCCAGGGCCTCTCTGTTTAATTCATTGTTGTGTTTCCAGTATCCAACAAAAGATTCTCACTATTAAGCACTCAATAAATAATAGGTTCTCAATGTGTATATCCCAAGGCATCAACTCTCATTTCTACACCGACAATGCCTAAATTTGTATCTCTAGACATATCTGTCTCTACACTGTCTCCTAGCACCTCTAAAGATCAACTCTTTCTACCTAATGCAAGTCTTTTCCCCCATGTTTTCTGGGTCTCTGACTATTGTTAGCTGCCATACCTTTCCAGTTCTAACCCTTAGACCAATTGCTTCTTGAGCTGTTGATATATTCCCATCTCCCTGATACCATTCACCCTGGCCACAACCATCATTTGCATGGATTCCTGCAACTAACAAGTAGACTTCTTTGCCTTTAGTGTTGGCTCTTACTGTCACTCACACACAGGGTTACTTTCCTAAACTAAAGTCATCTGCATTCATCCTCTCATGAAAAGTCTTCGAAGGTTTTCTGGTGGCTTCAGCATACGGGTTATACTGTTCCGTGACCTGTGAAGGCCTTCCCCAACTTGGCCTTGCCTTCTGCTCCACCATTGTCTCTGGTTGTTCTCTCTGTGTCCTCTGGGCTCATGAATTCTTTCCTGTTATCAAGTTAAAATTCACAGGCTCATGTTTCTACAGATAGATGTGGCTCATTACCCTGAAATACAAAACTGAGTGTGCCTTGTATGGGTCATACATCACAGAAGAGCAGTGTATTGACTGGAATAATAAAGTGAATAGTATTAATATTCAGCATCTTGAATAAATGTTCTCGATTATTGTAACATTAGTCAAAATGTCCTTAAACATAAAGAGAGTCATTCATAAAACAATAAAAAGGCTCTATCTTTGTCCTTGAAACTGCTACCATCAAAAGGGTTCTCCATGGTCCTTCAAGTGTAGCTGGAGGACCATATGCATGAGAGTCATCTGACAGCCTACTACAAACTCATTATAGAGCTAGCTAATGCTTGAATATGTCTATTGGGGGCCCTAGAAGTTGCTACTGTAGAAACCAGTTCATATCCAAAAATACTAAAGTTGGGACTCATTCATGCAATCCAAATCCTCATTTCTCAGAAATGGGATTGCTTTTCTGGACATTTTCATTATCCATTTCAACTATTGTGGTCCAGGGAGGTTTGCATTACCTTGATTTCCCAGAGACTTAGCAATCAGAATAGCAAATATCATGGACGGGACTGTTTATGAGGGACAAATCCTTGGAGAGCAAAATGAAAGAAAACTATATGTCTGCCTGTCTTTAACTTGAAGCTAACATGGGCACGAATCTTAGGCTAGTGTTGTAGTAGGTGTCAGATACATGGTGCAATATGCATCTCACATATATTACCTTATTGAATCCTACCAACAACTTAGTGAAATGGGAGCAGTCATCTCATCAGAGATGTAAAACAATCCTGAACCTTATGAAAGCAAACTAACTTCTCCTGCAGCAAAAGTGATACTTCTAGTGCATGATGCCTCATTCCAAGGCTCTACTTCTAGTTTGGTACCCTGTCATAGAAACAGGTTTAAAATTTATATGAGTCAACTGGGAAGGAATGGAGAAACCTACAGGATGTACCAGTAGATTGCTGCTGGAGGCCCCAGATCTGCATTGTATATTGTCAAATTCAGTCATTTGGCCTTCTTGATTATGAAAGATGTGGACAAATCACTTCATGTTTGAGAATTCAATTTCTTCAAGATTGAAACTGGGGGTACATTGAGAGGACATTCAATTAATGTCCATTAATAGTTTCAAAAAATAAAAACAAAACCAAAAACCAAGATTTTTGTCTTCTGTAGTAACTATTATTTATAAAGAGCTGTAAAGTGAGGAGCATTGGGCCACATATGATTGATGGAATGACAAGAGCTCTCTTGTAGAAGTGTTGATGACTGTGTGACACTGATATTTTTTCTTTAGCTCCTCAACAAACTGAAAAAATCAACTGAAAAATTGGAAAAGGAAGATGAAAGTTACTACCAAAAGAACATGGCAGGCTATTCGACTAGACTGAAGTGGGAGAGTGCGCTGGAAAACAGTTACAAGGTAAGTTAGACATTCACAATTTTCTCCTTCCAGTGGGTTTTGTGTAACTTAGGAGGTGAAAACTGGATCTACATCCATGAGACCTGATTTCTTTATACCTTCCCCCGTAACGCCCCTAGCCGAGCCCAAAAGTTCACCGCCTATGTCCGTATATGTCTTTAGTCATGCCTAAAGTGGGTGTGGTTAGCGGTGTGGTAAACCGCTCTTTTATTACCTCATCTGTATGCACCTCTAGTAAGTCACATGGTTAATGGCAACATTGTTTTCCTCCTACACATCCTGAAAAAAATATTTAACCTGTATTTCAATAGTGAGGCATAAAAATGTTTATTACAGAATAGCTTATAACTAGATGGCGGAAAAACATTGCACTCAAACTTCATGCCCATCAATAGAGCACTCTTAAAATGTGCCCTAATTTATAAAGTAGGTCAATTTCCAGCTATAAATAAACCAAGTTTGTATTTAAGTATGAATTAACCTCCAAACAATGATGTTACAGAAAATCAAATCATTTATATATCCATGTGGAAAAATTTCAACTCACACCTAACCTATATTGAGTTGGTCTGTTTTGTAAACAGATATCTAGTGTCCAGACCTGTGCTGAACCAGGGAGGTGGAACTCCTAGTAGGAATGCAACAGGGATACAATATACAGCCACTCAGCTTGTGAATGGCTCCTGATAAACCAATATAGCCACTTCCCAGGTTAAAATCTACTTCAAATATATATGAACAGTTTTGCTGGACCGTTGCAAATCAACACAAGCATTGTCATTGTCCTAGTTAGGCTCCTATTGCTATAATAAGGAAAGGAGTTATTGGCTTACAGGTTACAGTTCATTATTGGAAGATGCCCAGGCAGGAACCTGAATGCAGGAACTCAAGTGGGCCATGGAGGAGCTCTGCTTACTGTTTTTCTCTCTAGGGCGTGCTTAGCTCCCTTTCTCATATAGACCAGGACTATATCCACGAGGGTAAAACCATCTACAGTGGGCTACCACTAATCAAGGACATGTGTCACAGGCTTGCCTCTAGTCCAATTAATTGAATGGGGACATTTTTCTCAGTTATGATTCCTTCTTCTAAGATGACTCTAGCTTATGGCCCAAACCAAAAAGTAACCAGCATAATCATATGAAACCTTAATTTTTTTTCATTTTTGTCTATGTGTTTTAAGTTTTTAAAAATGTTTAAAACAGTTACATTTGAAAGAAAAAAAAACAAACAGACAAGTAACCTAGGGACTAACCTGTATCAAGTGCCTGGCGTTCAGTGTGTGAACTAAGTGTGCTTGTGTGTGTTATATCTTATTTCACAACCATATAAAGAAAATAATAATTTTATTCCCTTTTCTCCCTGAAAAAAGTGAGGCAAGAGAAGCGAGGCTGCTTGCCCAACATGGTTTGAGATTCAGTATGCTCTTACTCCAATAAGAACTGGGAGAGGGGAGGTTATAAGTAAGCAGGGGCTGAAGAGCCAAATGGTCTCTTGAACTCAGTCACTTTCAGGGTGGGGTAGATGCAGAGTTAGAGAAGAGATGGGAACTCCTACCAAGACAAAAGGAAATGAGGACCCAAGAGGAAACCCTTCCTTCATCCAGTTATTCCTCTTTTGCTTTGATGTTGTTATTGAGACAAAGTCTCACTCGGTAGTGCAGGGTGGCCTTCAGCTCACGGCGGTCCTCCTGCACAAGCCTCTCAAGTACTGAGATTCTAAGTGTGGACTTCTGCATGGATAATTGCATCATTGAGCATAGGATCCTGGCACATCCCTCGTTTGTGCTGAGTAGATTCCAGATACAGATGATGAAGGATATGAATCCTAAGTCTATCCATTTGAAGTCTGGGCTCTGACCTTTTCTTGGCTCCCAGGACTTCCAATGAAACTATAGCTTTCCACAAGGCCAGCTTCCAGGGATGGCTCTGGTGACAGATGTCTAGGCACCCTTCAAGGATGACAAGGAAAAACATGTGAGTGTATCTCCTCCGTCTCCCTTACCCTATACCTATGTCACAGCAGTAGGTGACAGCAGCAGGTCTTCATTGCCACAGCTGACATCAGACTGGTCTTCAGTGCTGTGGGGAATTGCTGACACTGTTATATCACAGGGTTTTTACTGGCTGTAACTCCTTTATCTGTCTCCTTTTCTCCAGTTAAAAGCCTCCCACACCCATAACCCTAGCACTCAGAAGGCAGAAGCAGCATGACTACCTCAAATCTGAGGCCAGTTTGATCTAGACAGCAAGTTCCAGGCCAGCCAATATCATTTAACAAGACTACATCTCAGAAAAATATGAGTCCTCCTCCCCCTCTCAACTCTCTCTTTCAAAAGTTCTTTATTTTATTTGAATTGCATCATTGTGGAAACTATCATCTCTCCTTGAAAAGTCATGTTATGGTAACAAGATATACATTCATTTACCTTCCAAAGGAGCATCTTTTAGCCTGAACTTATTAGTTGTCGTATTAGAATTGAAGTGGTGTGCAGAATCTACTCAAAGCATAGTACACAGAAGAGCAGGATTTCCCCTTAGCTCTCTTGAGTCCCAGCCCCACTGAGCTCTTGGCCACTGGGGTCTGCTCTTCCTTTCCTGTAGTTGTCATAGCCCCTACGATCCTAACTTCCTCTGAGCTGTCTTCTGGCTCCTGAGCACCAGTCCACACTCACTGGACCTGAATAGTGACAACCTGTGGTGTCCTCCCTGCTCCACACTGACCCCCAAGAATGATGTTCTCACTTGGTAGTACCTTGGCTTCTATGCACTTAGTCTGTATCAGTCTCTGACTCACAAGTTTCTGTACGTTCAATGTCTTTTGTATATTTATAAATCCAAGCATGAAGTGTTAAATTTGTGAAGACATGTAACACTGCACAGAAATGCACCAAGTCAGTGCTGATTATCTCGGAGTAGAAGAAATATGTGTGGTTTTTAGAATGTATCTTTTTTTTGTCTAAAGAACCAGAGTGCCTGTTAAAATTCACTCAGACACGGTGACTCAGAACCTCTGCCTGACTTCAGGAAGGGTCCGGGTAACTTCTAGGCATACTGTAGTTTGAAGTCTCTGCTATGGAAACAGCATGATACATCTTCTGTTTGAAATCAGTTCAAATGAAAATGCAGCCCCTCCAAGATCCTCTGTTAGTGCCCTGAAGCCAGAGCAGCAGAAACTGAAGAGAACAAATGAAGAACGTGAATTACATGAGCCCAAACAGGCTCTAAATCTGCCATCCCTTGGTAGCTCTCTGACCAAACTTCCTTCGCCTGTGCTGTCAAACAGCTGGAGGCCCTCCAGAATGTCTTGTCTCTCTATCAACTCTTTTTATGCAGAGAGAACAAGACACAAGAAAGCAATAACTCATTGAATAAGATATGGATTTTCCCCTTTTGCACAGTGGAATTTATTTCTGCTTCTTCTCATGAGCAAACACAAATCATTTTAATGATTTCCCTGAAATGTAATTAAGGCTGTTAAACATCCCCATCTCTACAAAAGGACGTGAGTTATTCTAATCTCAGATTGATGCTTGTGGTTCTGTGCTTATCGATGCAAAGAAACAACTATTTCCCAGAGTGCAACGTGTTCAAGGCCTGACTTATATTCCCCACCCCCACATCCTTGGCCTGCATTGCTAAACTGGAACAACTGATCTCTAGGTTTTGGAAAGTAGGGTAAGGACTTTTTTCCTTTTAGAGGTGATCCAAGCCAATGAACTGCATTTGTCTTACATGTTTGTTATGAGAAATTTTAATTCTGCCTTAGAGGAATCAATCTGTCTGATAGGCTACTCTTCAGTGTCTTCAATTCTTTATCTGGAAGGCAGAAGGACAATTGGTCACATTCAATTTGCTGATGCCTGTGATTTTGGAGGAAGTCTCAGGAGACACTGGCAATTGCAGAGGCCCTTGGCTCCTGGCATACAAAAACCAGTGCAGCCATCTAATCAGATGGATGTGAGGGTGTAGCTGCAGGCTTCCCACCAAAATCTCAAGGTATGGAGCAAAAAAATGTCCATATCTATACTGTGGTTTGTTGCTGTTGATTGTTTGGTTGCTTCCACCTGAAGAAACATTAAAATGATCTTATATCAATAAACAAATTATAACATTACTGGAATATCATTGAGCCTTAAAGACATATCTACAGCATAGATGAACTTTCAAGACACATTTAATGATTCTTCTGCTTGAGAACTGCCTACATTAGTCAAGTTCAGAGAGTGAGAAAGTAGAATGGTACTGGGCATGGCCGGGAGGAAGGGGGGATAGGCAGTTGCTACTTCGTGGGTATAGAATATATAGTGGTGTGGAGATCGTGCTGCTGAGAGTTACAGAGCAATGGGAATGTCCTCAGGAACAGTGAACTGTATCTTTAAAATGATGTTGTTTATATTATGCAAATCTTATCATAGCTAAAATTTAAATTCGGATTGCAAATGTTGGTGGCTATGTACAATAGATTAAATAATGGCACAAGGATGTAGGACACCAAATAATCAAGACAGAGGTGACCTTTGTCTTTATGCTGACGCACCTGTTCACCCAAAGCCTTGATACCCAGTCATCCTTCTTCCTTGTGGCAATGACATCCACCAATTTTCCTAGAGCTTTGACCTTATAAAAAACAACCTGTGGAGAACGTTGTCTTCTCCACAGATGATAGACACCTGCCATCTCTGTCAAAGCTCAAAGTCCCCTGGGCATCTGTAGTGCACTGTTCCATGATGGCCTATAAATCTCCCCTGAACGCTTCACCTAACCGCAGTTAAGCCTCTCCACCCATTCTACAATCCACAAGTCAGCAAGTAAGTGGCAGGAGTTCAGTAACATACTTGCTCTAGAATGTTAGTGGCCAGCAAAGCAACAGTATAATCTTAACAAGGTCAGCAAGTGTGTGAGCCTTACTTCCTTATTCACCTTGCTAGCTAAAAGGCATCGGAATCCAGTTGTAGAATTTTTGTTATCCCACATAAAATGTGAAGGCCATGTTCTTACCTTTAATAGACTCTGACACTCTAGGTCAAATATAGGTTAGCATTAAGAACAGATTATAATTAGAAATTCTACTCTAGTTTTTTGAAGACTAGAGAATGTGGACTGGAGAGATGGCTCAGTGGTTAAAGAGTCCTCAGGCACCAGGCTCACAAAGTGGCACAAACACATAGGCAAAACGCTCATACACATTAGACAAATATGTTTAAAATACCAAAGGATGTTCCCTACTAGCTATCTTTCATAGTGCTGGGATGTTGTACACAAAGGTACTAGGGGAGAATTAGTCAACAGGCTTACCCAACTATCAATGCTGTAAGTTACGGTAAAGACTAGCCTGGTAATTGATGTGACCACTGGTGAAGGAGTGGCATGGATGTTATAGGAAAACACAAATGCTTTCTAACTGGGTTTAAAGCCCGCTCTGCCAGATAGAACTCATCCATGATATTGTTAACAAGGCCAAAATCCAGGAGCTAGCTACATCATAGGCCCTAGGGGAAACACTAATTTTCTGCTAAATGAATATAGCCATAAGCTGCCCCTGGAGTTCTTACCCGTGTATCTATTAGATTAGTTCATCTCTTGACATTCATCAGGGAAGCTTGTTCCTTCAGTAGATGGCTAAAACAAAGTGCAGAGAATTAGATTCTGGGATGCTCAGCCCTAAACGGGATGTTTATGGCACACACAAAGACCAGGGAGGAATCATTGTGGAAGAGGGAACAGAATGATTAAAAGTGCCAAAGGAAATGGCCAAGTGTATTCCAACAACGTCTGCCGGAGGACCGCACTGTTGCACACATGAACTCACAACAACTGTGGCTGTGTACAAGCCCTATACCTGAACAAGCCAGTCAAAACTCTATCATGAATGGGGCAGGGGCTCATGAAGTCCCATCCCAACTGAAGAGCTATCCACAACTGATGTCTTCTGGCTAAAGGAGAGTCAGTTTTCTTCAGGGACGCAGGGACCCAGAGACTACTCATGCTCCAGTAGATTATCTGTCCTACATCCGGGCTCATACAGGCAGCACTGAGTTGACTCAGTGGGTTTAAAAGCAGAGCACAAAAAGTCAGAGGGAAAAGCAGTGGAGGGAGTAAGGAAGGGAATGGAGGAGAGGGAAAGAAGGTGGATTTGAACAAAATACATTAAATGCATGTGTGAAATTCTCTAACAATAAAAAAAGACTGTAAGGCCCGGATAGACGGTTTAGTGTTAAGAGCACTTGCTGCTCTTACAATGGTCCTACATTCAGTTCCCAGTACCCACATCGGGTAGCTCACAGCCTCCTGTAACTTTAGTTCCAGGGAATTCAATACCTTCTGGTCTCTGTGGGCAACTGCAGGTGTGTGGTATACATAAACTCATGCTGGTCGATATGTACTTACATGTTAAATATTATTATATTATATATATTAACTTTAATTTTAAAAAAAGGAGAGAATATTGGGGCTGAGATGTAGCTAACTAGGTAGATTTTCCTAGCAAGCACAAGGCTGTAGGTTCAATCCCCATCACACACACACACACACACACACACACACACACACACACACACACACGCGCGCGCGCGCGCGCGAGATGATGGTACCTGCCTATATTCCCACCTGTAATTCCTTTATGGAGCATATAAGAGACAAGAGGATCAGAAGTTCATAGTCACCCTGTAGGTGTCATCTATAACAAGTTTGAGGCCAGGCTTGGCTACATGAGACCTTGTCTCACAAAGCAAAAAGTAACAAGAGAATGTGTATCCCTTTTGTTGTTTGTTCATTTATTTCTATAATTTATTTGTAATTTTTTTGCAATTAAAACACAATATCATTTTCTTCCTCATCTTTCTCCAACCCCCCCCATGTTATTCTCTGCTTATTTTGTATCACATTTGTAGCCTCTTTTTCTTTAATTATTATTGTTATAGCTTATTCTAACAGGTAATAGGAGTCACAACCAATTAAAATTTCTAGAAGAAGTCCCATTCTCGGAACAAAAGTGGGGCGAGTACCTGGCACTAGATTCGGAACTTGCCAGTAGAAGTCTGCCCAAGAAGATTTACTGTAGTTGTTCTGGTAGCTTACCTAACAGCTGCATATTCCATGACTCCTAGCTTTTCTTCCTTTAAAAAATAATTTATTCTAATGTTATATGTCTATGTGTGGTCTGCCTGATGATAGTTAGAACTGAATTCAGATCCTCTGGAAGAGCACAAATGCTCTTAAACACTGAACTATCTCTGCAGCCCCTTGTTTTAAATTTTCTACAAATTGCACACAAGACCAAGAAGAATCTGAGAAATAAATGTGCTTTATTTTGGGGGGGGGGTTCCGAGACAGGATTTCTCTGTATTGTTTTGGAGGCTGTCCTGGAACTCACTCTGTAGACCAGGCTGGCCACTGAGCATGTGCGGAGGTCACAGTACATTTCTGGGACTCAGTTCTCTCCTTCCATCATGTAACAGAGGTCGTCAGACCATCTCACGAGCTCTCTTTTTTTTTTTTGAATCTGTTCTTGTCTCCAGTTTTTTTTTTGATGAAACATAGATCATTATGTCATCTTCACTCCTCCAGAGATAGGCGAGAGGATGTGTCTTGCTTATATTGTCAACAATTTTGGAAGTATTAGGTTTCTAAGAGCATTTCTAAGACATGAAGATGGGTCTTCCTGGACTTTAGTCTCTTCTAAAATATCAAAGATCCATCTTAATGCCTTCTTTTCTCTTTCTCTCCTCCTTTTTTTTGTGGTGTCTGCCTACATGCCGTGTGCAGGCAGAGGGTCAAAGGGAAGTTTACGAGTTAAATGGGATATTAGGACAGACAGCAAGTCATAGCCCTGTCCTGGGAATCTCCTTGCACTGCGGTTTGGATGCACCACAGTGAAAGGCATCAGGACAGTTTGCTCAGGCTATCTCACAGTGGGGCAGATGGCTGTGTGGGAGAGGTGGAACAAACACTTGATCTCCCCTCAATTTTTTCCTTCTCTTCAGAGCATGCTGGAGCTGGAGAAGGAAAGAATTCAACTGTTGTGCAATAACTTAAACCAGTACAGCCAGCATATTTCCCTTTTTGGACAGACGCTGACCACAGTGAGTAGTGGGGGTTGACCCATTTCTGGTGTGCATGGAAAGGGTGGCGGGAAACGGCTCTTTAACGACCCCCCCTTTGCTTTGCTTGGTGTTGCAGTGCCACACACAGATCCACTGTGCCATCAGCAAGGTTGACGTTGAGAAAGACATCCAGGCTCTAATGGAAGAAACCGCAGTCCTATCGACGGAAAACAAATCCGAGTTCCTACTGACTGACTACTTTGTAAGTACCGAGTGGCAGGAAGTGACCTTAACAGGCCACCTCGGCCATGTATTGAGAAGGCATGCTGAAAACAATGCTAAAACAAATGCTGTCTTCTCCCCACCAGCCCACCCTAGTCTCCCACAGCCCAGAGCCGGCCTTGGAAATCTTGATCTTCCTGCTTCTACCTCCCAGGGGCTGGGATTCAAGCATGTGTCATCGTGCCAGGGAAGAACTCTCTTCTTTTGTAAATAAGAATGTTATTTTTTTTTCATAGTGGTGTAAATAATCACAAGCAACCTATGGGCTACACATGCGGCGACATTCCCTTTAAAGACTGGTGGAGGTTTAGACGTGTGGGCTCTTTGTCCTAATCAGTCTTGCGTGCTGCCAGAACAGAATCCAACACGTTTGGTAATTGACAGAGATTAGAATTAGGATTATGGTTCTGGAGACTTGAGTCTGCATCGGAACAGGACAGGAAAAAGGCATTGCGTGGACAAGAGAGCAAGGGCTGAACTTGCTTCTATGGCAAACTCATTCCCATGACAATGACACTAGTCCATTCATGAGGGAGGGTCTCATCTCTAATCTCTGAAGGTCCATCTTCTCAGTACTGCTTTGGGGGATTGTTTCTTTTTCTTTCCTTTTCCCTTGTTTTCTTTTCTTTTTCTCTTTCTTTTTTTATTCTTCTCTCATACAATACATCTCAGCTGCACCCTCCCCTTCCTCTGCTCCTCCAAGTCTCCCCCACCCTTCCCCTCTCCTCCAAATCCACTGCTCCTCCATTTCCCTTAAGAAAGGAGAAGTCCTCCTGGGGATATCAACAGAACATGACATGACAAGACACATCAATTCAGGCATATACCTTCAATATCAAGGCTGGAACAGGCAACCAAGTAGGAGGAGAAGAGTTCCACAAGCAGGTAAAACAGTCAAAGACAGGGTCTCTTGAGATAGGGTTTCTCTGTACAGCCCTGGCTGTCCTGAAACTCACCCTGTAAACCAGGCTGGCCTCAGACTCAGATTAGCCTGCCCCTGCTTCCCAGGATTAAAGGTGTGTGCCACCACTGCCCAGTAAGGAGGGGTTAGTTTTATCTCATAAACTTTGAGGGACATTTAAATCATAGCACTCTTTGTAAGAGTAATCCCAGGCAGGCATGTTCAGTGACCTATAAGTGACTGTTGTATTGGTTTTCTACACAAATGGTACATTGACTCCAAATTTGCTGGCTTAAACACTTGATATCTTACAATTTATGTGGGTCAGAAATCCAGGTGTAGCATAGCTGGGGCCTCTGGATCCCTCACAAGGCAAGGGTGAATGACTTCAGACGTCTCAAAACTCTACAAGGAAAGGCTTAATTTCCAAGTTCATTCAGGTGACTTGGCAAGGCTCTGGAGGTGAAAATGGGAAATGTAATTTCTTTTCATATAAAGTAATTTCATTATAGCATCATATATATGTATATATATATGCCATTATATTTTTATAACACAAATAGTAAAAACACAGATATTGGGGTTCAAGCTAAAGATCAGAGAAGCAAAGCAGCCAAGCCAGTAGCTCTTACCTCAACCAAGCTGAAATGGTAATCCTGTCTCTACAAATCCTCAGAGGCAATGCTCTCTGTCTGAAAACTAAATCTCACATAAAACCCTTTGCTTCTTCTCTTTATACCTCCCTAGTGCTAGGATTAAAGGCATGGGCTCTATTATTCTTTCAGACTGATTCACTCTTGTGTAGCCCAGGGTGGTCTTGAACTCACAGAGATCCAACTGCCTGCCTCCAGAGTTCTGGGATTAAAGGTGTGCATCATTCATCACTGCCTGGCTCTAGGACTGTGGCTAGCTTTGTATTTTGATCTCAGTGGCTTTATTAAAACATAAATAATAAATCAGTGCATATTTTGCTCTTATTTGTCCTATCCCCCATGGCCTTATCTTCTTCCTCTACACTTCTCTACCTCCTACAAAACAGTCTTCCCTTCTACTCTCATGCCACGTGTATTCCATTACTCTTTCCTATCCCCCACTCTTCCTCTCCTTGCAGAGTTCCCGTATACCTCCACTTTCTGAATCTGCACGTGTGTGTGTGTGTGTGTGTGTGTACGAGAACTTGTGTGCACATACACATATTTATTTTCACAATGTTTATTTTTTTCATCTCTCACCTGGCAACGCATAACAGCCTACTTCCCTCTGGATGAGTGACCCAAGAGACCCTAAGCCAGAGCACTCATAGAGGAACTAACTGGTCCCAGAAGTGACCACTCATCATGGTCTGTGTGTTAGAAGTCAGTAAGTGTGATCCTTACTCAAAGGACAAGAGCTTTAAGCCCTTTTTAAAGATCCCTAATCCTTGAAGAACTAGAGCTGAATTGGCCGAGACCTCTTCTTAGGCCATTTGGGGGCTTCTGCTCCAGGATGATGTTTATTGCTGAAAAGGAATCCATTTGTCTGATCAGAGTCCAGTCATCTTGCTTCTGTTTCTCAGCCTCAACCTTTTGGGTGCTTGCATTACAGGTATGGGCTACACACTCAGCTTCTCAGAGTAAATTCTTTGTCCTCTAGGAGTTAGCTATCTAAAACAAACAACAAATAAAGAGCAAAACCAAACCCCTCATTTTTCCCCCAAACTGCTACTGAACCTAAGTGGCCTTCATGCCTTACTTAGCCTCACAAGGATCCTAGATTTTTCTTTTCCTTATTGGAGGAGTGAATAAGCCTAGGGCCCTCCCTAGGTAAACATGACACTGAGCTACACACATCATACCTAGGAGTTCATAAATAATGACCTGCAAAAATGACTTCCGCTCCTTCCTGTGTTGTCTTCTGGGGCTTATTCAGGTTTCCAAGTTCCCTCCCAGCTCTTACCCATCTCTGATCTGTAGAGCCAGCCTGTTTATGCTCCCCAACTGGATTAAACATGCAGCTGACCCAGGGACAAGAACCAATACCCTTACTCAGAGTATGGGGCTTGGAGGGAGAAGGGAGGGGACAAGAGCTCTGAATCCCAACATGATTAAAGATTAACCTTTCCCCACTCACAACAACCGCACAAATAGCCAGTTGTTTCTTTAACTGGGTCTTTTATTCTTCCTACGTTGGCAAAGGTGAAGGGGGCTTCTAGTATTGATGTCTACTCAAAGCAGAAAGGGAGGCAGTAGGAACGGAAGAGAGGGTGCTCTTCCAGCTTCAGAAAGCAGGTATATGAGAAACACATCTGCTGTTTTCTTACAAAGGGCAATGAAAATGCTTCTATCACCTAACTTGTCGATAAAATAAAATTCTGGGAAAATCTAGGGTTCTATTGTAATATTGGGAGTTAAGATAGGTCATCTTTAATCGACATGCTTGTAGGAATTTATGATTTTTTAAGAAACTTCAGTGCCCTAGAATGCAACTGTATAGCTAAATGTGTCTCCAATGACTGACTGGAGTTGTCACGACATCCTTGAAGCTAAGCATTCCAGCATCTCATTTCACAGTCATTGGCAGTGAGTATGAGCTGGCTTTTATCCAGTGCTGACAAGAGCAAGTGACAACACAGGGCAGTAATCGGAGTCCCTAACATAGAGGGCAAGTGACCAGTGTGGAGGTATTTATAAATTCTGTAAGATCCACCTTCAAAGGATTGTAGGGTTACATGCCTCTCTTAGAACTGCCCTGTTTCTAGTCAATGTTTGGGAAAGAAGGACAGAGTGTGGAGACACACAGTGTCCTCAAGTTGATTTGTTCACAGCACAAAGGGAGGGAAAGATGGGAATGACAATGAAAGGTGCCTTTTCCTTCTTCCGGCACTGTTGGTGAGCCCTGAGATGGGCAGACGTACAGTGAAATGTGCCCGCTGTTTTCTTGCCAACTGTAACTACGACATCTCCACCCAGCTGGCAAGATAGCTTAGAGGGCGGAGGCACTTGCTACCCTGCCCTTAAGTTTCATTCCAAAGAGCCACATGGTCAAAGGACAGAACTGACTGCCACAAGTTGTCCCTGTGACCTCCATAAACACTTGCACATAAATAAATGTAATAAAGTTTTAAAATGCCACTGTCATCTAACCTTAGTCTTAAGGCTATTCTGGGGCATTTGACCAGCTTTCTATTGAAATGTTAGGAGGCGGCATTACTGGCAATGAATGTTTAAATACTAGATATGCCCAGTAGGCCCAGTGCAGAAGTCACACTGATTGCATTCCTCCAATGAGAACTCAGGGCAAGAGTGAGGTGACCTTAGGGTTTCGTCAGATCTCACCTAATGACACCAGTTGAGGCCTCTACTCCAGGCAGCCCTCAGAAGGAGTAGTGGAGAATCTGAGGTCAAAGTATTATTTTTGTGTTTAGGGACTGGACACCCGCCAGCTTCAGCTCGAGCCTTCTTTCATGTCTCTGCGTCACAGGTACAATGAGGAAAACACAGCCAATCTCACAGAGTAAGAACTGCGTGCAATAAACACACAGGGAAACTCACGTTGTATGATACAGAAAGACAATATTTTAATTGGTCTGTTATATTTTTATGGGGTGATGCTCTCGCTCTACTTCCTGCGTGACCCCCCTCTTTACGGTGGTTTATCTAAAGCCAGGTCTCTACAAGCATCCACAATTCTAGTTTTTTCCCCTCCCCTAACAGCTCCTCCCTTCCTCTGAGGGCTGCGGTCCACTCCTGTCCAGTCACCTCCCAACCCATGGGTTTTACTGTTTTATTTTCATCTAAGCCTGAAGTAACCATAGAGAGCTCACATACACCAGGTACTGTGACTCATACCTGTAATACCAGCACTTGAGAGGCTGAGGCTGGAAGATTTCTGTTAAGTTGAAGTCCAACAGACTGCACTAAACAGTGATATCCTGCCTCAAAATAAAACCAAAACGCTTGGCAGCTTCAGTCCTAACCTCTAGTCTGACACGGGCCACATTTTCTTCCACCTTTTTTGCTCAAGAGAATCTACTTATTGCCCTGATAGACTCTCCACAGAGTCCTCCTTTCCTTTTCTGGCGCCATTTCTCCTGCAGAGTGGCCTTTGTCCTCCTTTCACGTCACCGAGAAGTCTGGATAGGCCTACAGCCTTGGTGCCTGGGCTATTGGTGCACATGTGTAGCCTCGAATCTCTGGTTCTCCTAATATGTTTTGGGAACTAATCAGGTAGAGCACCATTTGGGGCCGAGCATGAGTGCTATCTCTAGCAGCCCTGATAACAAGCCAACACAGCATCCAACAAACGCTTGTTCCAGTCCCGAGGCAGTCCTAACCTTGGGCGTATACGGGGTCCTACAGTGCATGATTAAAGACTTGAGCTTGAATCAATATCAATTATGTCATGAAACACGAAGTATCCTGCAAATGGTTTATTATCAAGAAGCTGAAGTCAGCATAAAAATCTCTTCCTCCATGAATAATTGTTTTATTAAATAAAATGCTCAGCTATGAACTGAAGAATTGTGAGGGGGATGTGACCGTATTAATCAGGCCTAAAACAGGTGGAACGATGTGTGTGCCAAATATTATCTTCATTTTTCAATCTTCCCCCTCTGGTAAAGTAAAAACCACCAGATACAGTGAGTGACAGTCTCAGGAAAACTAGGAGTAGAGACGCTCTCATTTTTCCCCTTAAGTTATTAAATGTCTTTTTTTCTTTTAAAGGAAGAAGATTTAAAGAATGCAATGGATAAAGAGAGACGGAAGTTGTTGATAAAACCAAAATTGTCGAGACTGCAAAGAGACATTGAAAAGGCCTCAAGAGACAAAGAAGGTGTGTGATTTCATGCCCCAGAGCCATGGCTGGCCTGGAACTCACTACACAGAGCATACCAGGCCGACCTCCCCTTGTCTCCTGTCTCTGCCCCTCATGCACTTGGGATACAAGCTTGTACCATCCCTGGCTTGTGACAATGTCCTTAGATGCAAGATAAAGGCAAATATTATGTCACACTCAGAAGCTTCACTTGGAGTTAGGGTTAGTGTGTTTTTGTGGAGTAGGGCGGGGATCCTTTAGAGAATGGCATATTCACTCAAAGTTGTGTTGAATAAAAGGAAAAAGAGTTAAGGTCAGGTGAGGGGCAGTTGGATGACTCAGTCGGCAAGGGCGCTTGCCTTGAAAACATGAGAAGGTGAGGTGAGCCCTGAAACCATGTAAAGGTGAAGAAAGAGAGCTCCATCATGGTGTGTTCTGACCTCCCCATATGCTCTGTGGCACATGTGTCCACATGTCTTACACACACACATGTGCACACACAAACTCCATTAACAATTGAAAAATCAGCTCCGAGTCAGGTGTGGGTGCCCACCCGTGTTCCCTGCACTTGGGAAGCTGAGACAGGAAGACTGCTGTGGGCTGGAATCCAGGCTGGGCTGGCTACATAGTGACTTGTATCACAAGATCACAATAAAGAAAGCAAGGAAGTATAAAGGATGCTTCAGCCAACTTATGAGAATTATAAAGGTGGTTCACTGATGCGCTTTAGAAATGTACAATTTTATTGTTTCTCAAAGTGGCTGGGATGAGAGACGATCTGTGTGACTTAAACACGGTTTGGGGGTTTCGTTTTTGTCTTTTTAATAGCATTTGAAATGTTGGGACGATTACTCACGTTAAGTCCCACACTCGGGGGTCAGAGGTGAAATAGCACTGAGATAATTCCAAGGCAGTGCAGACAACAACACAAGCACACATTTCCAATCCAGCTTCTTGGCATGGACCGCAAGACTTCTTTTGACGTAGCTAGGAAACCCAAGATAGAAAGCGCTCCAGATGTGAAAAGAACAAGGAGGAAGAACCTAGCAGGACCGTGTCAATGTGAGGAATATTGCAATGGACCAAAGGAAACTCAGAATCCTATTCTGAAAAGCCGTGTCCGATCCTTTAAGTACCAGCATTTCTCAAATTTCATCCAATAAGGGCGGCAGCAACGAACTGTATGTTCACTTATCATATCCATAGAGTAAAGCCGGGACAGCCACACAGGGAAGCCTCTCCCCCACCGCCCACCCCCGCACTCCCACCGCGTTTAGGAAGTCCCACGCGTATCACTTGCAGCCTTCAGGATCTCTTCAAAGGGGACTGTTGAGGGCTATGCCCCACCAGGACTGGGTGGAAGGTGACCTAGAACGTGGTTTGTTTTCAGGCCTGGAACAGAAGCTCAAGACACTGTCCAGCAACTCCTCCTTCTCTGATGCCAAGAGCCAGAAGGATGCAGAGGCCTTAATGGACGAGGTAAATATTTGCGGAGTGCATTTCCTGACGAAAGGGTTATTTTTGGCGTATCTATTTTTCAGCCCACTTAACCCTGCTTGCCGCTCCTTCTTCCTGCATCAGAACAATTGACTGCTCGGAGAGCTGGGGCAACCGGCTCCTCCACAGCTTGTTTGTTGAGGGGGGGGGCTCCTACCACCTAGAAATGTTTACTTTCTGTAAAGGAGACGCAATTGTGTTCTAAATAGAAGTCTCCAAAATAGATGCATTCTTTAGTGAAATCATCGGCACTTCGACCCTGACAAGTCGCTGAAATCACCAAATCACTGGGTTGCCATTCACGGAAGCTGATCCTTGAATTTAGCTTTGCTGGTCATAGAAACCAAGGATATTACTGTTCTCATCTGCAAAATGGGAATATGGATACTATACCATAGAGCTTTTTGAGGATGCACTGTTGTCAAGAAAATGCCAGCACAGTGCTCAGAGAAGGAACTCAAAATCTGCCTTTTATGGCGGTGGGATAGTCCACACACATAGCGGTTCCAGTTTTTCACTTTCAGAACAATGTCCTGTAAATTATGAGGGAATGTCTTCACTCTATTACGAAACAGTCTTTGTACCGGGTGATTTTCGCCCAGTGTAAGCTAATATAAGATTCTGAGCACGTCTTAGGTCTGCCAGCCTAAGTGGGGCTATTCAGTGGGTAGGATGTAATATATGACCTCTCAGCTAACATTGGACATATCAGGATGCAGCATCACTGCGTGGAGGCACAGCTAACATTGTTAATAAGACTCTGCTTTCCATTCTACTTTCCAGCTGGAGAGCTGACGTCAGAGTCCTCCGAAAACAAGAAAAAGATAGGGCTATAATCAGGAAGAGGGCATGGGGTGTGGCAGAGGAGGGCACGGGGTGTGGCAAAGGCCTCTGAGGAAGCAGGGAGCTATTTTAGAAGGAAAATTGGAGGGAGTGGAGTGGGAAGGTGCTGGGAGGTTTGTGCAGTGGTTTGAGTGGTGAGAAGTAGGCTCCTGCTGATACAAGATTCCGGAAGAACGGATGTTTTAGTAATATATTGAAGGAAACAGGAATTGGGAGAACTTTCTTTACCTAACCTAACGCTCCTAATTCTGCCCAACTTGGGAGTTTCAGTAATGGTTTGGCTCTTTGTTTTATACTCAAATACCCTGGATTACTATTTAAAAGTTTTTTCCAGTTTTGAGGAGCAGGGTTACTAAACTTTTCTTGGCAATATAAGACGGGCCTTTTTAAATAAAAGCAAACACAACTTGCACAAATTTTGGTGGGATGTACTCAATTCCTTAAAACTCTGACTGGTGACTCTAAGAGTAATCAACACTTATTTCCTTTCTTGTTCCTGGGGGAGGGTTGTCCAAAGTTGTTCATCATCACAGACTACCTAGAAACTTACCTAACTAGTTTTCTTTGCCCACACCAAGACTTTCCCTCTCCCTTGTGTTTTTGATTTTTAATTTTTTTTTTTTTTTTTTGGTTTTACGAGACAGGGTTTCTCTGTATTCTTTTGGAGGCTGTCGGTCCAGCCTAGCCTCGAACTTACAGAAATCCGCCTGCCTCTGCCTCCCGAGTGCTGGGACTAAAGGTGTGCGCCACCACCGCCAGGCTTTCCCTCTCCCTTGTGTTAAGAGTCTTATCCTTTCACTGTTGTTCATGTGTATTGGTCTGTGAGCTGAGTGTGTATGTTTCTAGAACTGTCTACCTTCGAAAGGTACCCTGAGATTCCTTTATTCACCCAGCTCTGCCTCGTTCTCTTGAAATTTCCTTACACAGCCATATGATTTGTCCACAGACCAGTTTGAAACTAGACCTTTTGCAAGCAAACTCCTACAAACTGTCATCAGTGTTAGCAGACCTGGAGCAAAGGCCGAAGCCCAGCCATCCCTGTAGCACCTGCATCTTCAAGTGGAAAGAAAAGGTAACGCTGAAATTGGTTGCAGTGTCTTTACTGGGCTTGCCAGGCAGAAGGGCTTAACAACAGCACAAGACAGAAAGCCCACCCTGTGCCCCAGGTTCTTACGCCGGTGACAAAGATCAACTTACTTTTGTCCCTGTTGAACACATTGACACTAAACCCAACTAAACGCATCCTTTGGAATGAGACTAGGTCACTCAAGTGAAGAAGTCAGCGTTTCTTCTCTCTTCATACCTTAACTTTAGGTTTGCAAGGTTCGTTGTAAACATTTCTACTAACTTGCAGTTTTGGTATTCCACAGACCTAAACTGTAGGGCCTTTTGTTTTGCTTTTTGTTTCTCTGTGTAGCAGCCCTACCTGTCCTGGCACTCGCTCTGTAGACCAGGCTGGCAGAGATCCTCCTGCCTCTGTAAGATCTTATGATGGGTATCAGGTTCATCTTAGCACAGTGTAAATGTACCCCACGGTGCAGTTTAATGCAGTTTATAGTGTGCATACACCACACACACAGGCATCTGTGCAGCGCTATACTCTGGAAACTGTAGTGTAGACAGCTATTGCTTGTAGCTAGTTTCATTACATTCAGAATCAGGAAGTATAACCAAACATCCAGCAGCAAAGGGATAGTTTTCTTTCTGAGAAGAGTTATAAGTTCTAAAATGGTCTCAATCCTTTTATTGGATGCCTTTTAAACTTGGACTTCCAGAAGTATTGCTGTGAACACATCTATTAGGCCCAGGCATATAGGTCCAAATTGGAAATGCAGGTATAACACACAGTAATCATCTCATTCTGAAAATACTTTACCTTTGGAACAAGAAAGCTGAAACACAGAAGGTCTTAGAAGTATTTTGATTATTTAATGCATCATCCCCATTTATACATGTACACACACACACCCACACACCAAGGAATTGACATACAAAAAACGAAGATTATTTATTACATGCTTATTGAAAATGACTTTCTTCTTATAAAACCTGCACAGGAGCACTCTCACACTTATGTAAGAATATCCCGGCCTCTCTTGACGAAGAGATTGGAGAAAGTTGTGAACAAGGCACCTTCTGGTGGGCAGAACAGCCCCAGCTCTTCACCTTCAGGTAATTCAGGGCCCCAAATCATTGGGGGCGTGTCCTCTGGGTAAAGTTCATTGTTATATTTAAATGGTTTCTAAGCTACATTTACCTATGTTTACTAAAAAGAAATTATCTCTCAGTTGAGAGTGATGAATTTATTAGAGACTGAAGTTTTGTGTACAACTGTAGAAAAAAAGGTAGGAAGGAATCAAGAAATAGTACAGGCTGGGAAAATCATTTTATAACATGAGAAATTATGCATGCACATGTACACATACACACAGGTCATTGTCCTCCAGCTATATAACATAATATCAGTTCTCCAGTTCCTTTTGTATTAAAAATGAACCAAAAAGAGTTTTAATAAAACCCAAGACATTGAGGTCCACACAATTTACTCAAGTCACCTGGGAATTTTTTGAGAAACAGTTCCCAAATAAACAAGGGATAATGATATACGTACACTCCAAATAGTCCCTATCTCTACCTGAATGACAAAGCTGATGTGTTTTAAAAAGAAAAATGCAGCTACCACACACATTACCTAATGATATCAACCATGTTCACATAGAAAGCAAATAATTTTAAATTGCCATCGTTATTAGTACAATAACAGTAATCTGGGTCTTGGCTATGTAATATGCATAGTTTATACACATGTTGGATATATTATAGATACTTATTGAACCAAAAAATGAATATTGGATAAAATAAAAAACCTTTTGAGAAAATTTAAACCATGTACCACACTGTTAGCAAAGACTTTCTGATTGTGTTCATTTTGCCTATTGAGTCACCATGGTAACTACAATTTCATCCCAACCTCTAGCCTCTGTGTCCCAAGTCACCAACCATCTTTGCAAGGCCTTGTACACTTTCCAAGCCAGGCAAGACGATGAGTTGAATTTGGAAAAAGGTAACACTTGTTCTCAAATGTTTTAATTGTTTTTTTCATGTTGGGATGCTTCCTTTGAATAAAACCCTGATTTACCTGGACAGCATTAAGATGTTCTTGGACAAATGAGGTTTACAGTCTTTCTTCTTAGATAAAGCACATGAAACTAAGGCTCATGCGGTGACAGCTAATAGCCATCTCATATTTCTATGGATGTGTCAGGCATGTGTGTGTTGACAGCATACCATTCAATTACTACTCACAGAACCCACTGAGACAGCCATTATTTGGTCCTGTTTTATAGCTGGGAAGAATGACACAGAGAAAAGTTCAGTACTTTGACTAAAATCACAAGCAGGAGCAGTGCAGGATTTGCACTCAGAACTCAGCCATGCCCTTAAGCCAAACTGCTACACTGGGGCAGAATGCCACTAATAGGAATTCATTGGAGATAGAGCTCCACCGGTTTGTGTTTCAGATGGTAGAGTTGCAGAAAAGTGATGCCTTCCTTATTATGACAGAAAATTCTAGAATCTGGGTCCATTGATGCCCAGATTAATGTTTGTTCCTCTACATCTCAGAAAAGAACCCAGAGCCACTGTAAAGCGTCAGATCCCTTGTTTGTGTCAGAATATTTCCCATGGGAGTATTTTTCAGTGGATTATATAAACTAACATTCTTAAATCAGCATAAATGTCCAGCCTCCACTTTCTGCATATCTTGATAGTTGGATGTTCAAGCTAAGGCAGAGACCTAGAAATGTGATCATGAAAAAGAATTGTGCCATAAGAGAAAGCTTAGTATCCATGGCCAGGATATGGCTTCCAGAACAACAGAAAATCAAGATGGATTCTGTAGCAATGACAGCTAACAGTCACTCCATGTTTCTTTTCTTGTTTTGGTTTTTCAAGACAGGTTTGCTCTGTGTAACAGCCCTGGCTGTCTTTGTAGACCAGGCTGGCCTCAAACTCAGAGAGATCTTCCTGCCTCTGCCTCCTGAAAGCTGAGATTAGTGTACTGCTACTGCTCAGCTAGAGGGAACTTTCTAATTATCACAGGCTAGTCAGATTTCTCCTGGAAATCACTTCTCCTTTTTTATGAGTGAAAAAAATGCCTTTCTCAGAGGCCACTCAAGAAATCAAGGGTTCCGAGATTAAGTTTCAAAGTTTACATTAAACAATTATCCTGTTTGTATCAGTTTTCTATTGGTTGCAAAGCGCACCTATGTTCATATTCTAAGTAGTTCTTCTCAATGAAACACAACACAGAGGCTGGGGGAAGGTAACAATAATATTTGAAGGCATTTGTTTAAATTTCATCAAACAACCTAGTGACCCCAGTAAATTCTTGAGAGAGAGAGAGAGAGAGAGAGAGAGAGAGAGAGAGAGAGAGAGAGAGAGAGAGAGAGAGAGAACTCAAAATCAGAAAGAGCTCCCACAAGAAAAAAGAGAAAATCACAACTGGGAAGAAAGGACGGTAGCCATTCCCTGTCCCTTCAGAACAGGACTGAGCAGGGACGAGTAAACAAGACAAATGTGAGAACGAGCTAAGTGAAAGCAGATGTTGGATCTTGAAGTGGGTGTCTCTACTTTGATGTATGGGAAGCAGCCTGTTAGGCAGCTTCTCGATGCTGTGGCAAAATACCTGAGAAAAACAGCTGATGAGAAGAAATGGTTATCCTGGCTCCTGGCCTCCAAGGTTTCAATTTGTTTGGTTGTCTTTCAGCTCTGTGGAGAAGCTGAAAATTTTATAGTTGAAGGTTGTATCAAGGGAGGGAAGCTGCTCAATCCTTAATAGGATGGAAGGAAGGGGAAAAGAGGAACAAGCCCTTCGGTGACCTTCTTCCTGCAAACAGATCTTTGAATAGGTCATTCATTACAAACGCATTAATGAAGTCAGCAGCCCTAGTATCCAATTATCTCTCAACAACACCACTGTCTGGGGACTAAACCTTCAACACACAGGCTTTAGGGGACACTTCATATACAAACAATATGCCCAGAGAAAAAGAACTCGTTCAAGTTGGAGGCTTGCTGGGCCATCCATCAAGTTTACAGTTGCTAAGATCATGGTGACATTTGTAAAATGCAACAGAAAGTTGCACTACAACTGTATTAGGAGTTTGGCCTTACTTATTTCCTTCAAATTATTATCTCCAAATTGATGTTTTACTATTAAAGTTGTCTAAATGAATGAATGGGGGGGGGCTAGATTTCTATGTGAAACTGCCAAAAGACTGAGTCCAAATGTGACATAGGGAGTTATCACAATTTCAAGAAGAAAAAAAAAACATTAATAGAAACACACTTCCAATGCCAATGAAATACTCTAAACTCTCATGACCACCAATATATATAACCCTTAAGGAATGGACAGCAAGAAAGAGTTTGCCGACAACCCATCCACTGTATATGAATTGAGCCACCTGTGCAATTGTACCATGATTCTGGTATTATGTCACTCTCTTTAGCATTCTCTGTATTGCTGCTATTTCATGCAAAGTGCTCAGTAAATTTGGCTTCATCTGAATCAAACGCAAAAAGTGATGTTACCAAGTACTCTCTTGGTTGGGTTCAGAACGCTCTTCGAAACTCTTACCAACTTTTGCTTGGCATGTGCTCAAGTTGCACAGAACCATCTGTCTAACTCAGCGTGTGTCCTCGCAGGAGACATTGTGACCCTACACGAGAAGAAAGAAGAAGGATGGTGGTTCGGCTCTTTGAATGGGAAGAAAGGCCATTTTCCTGCTGCCTATGTGGAGGAGCTGCCTTTAAAGGCTGGAAGCCCAGCTACGCAGTCATAAGACTGGACAGATGGGTGGCGGCCTTACATATTCTGTAAACTATGTGATGCAAATAAATAGGAACAGTCATCATCTTTGCAAGTGTTTCTTATACAGTGGGTGGTAGAGACCTACCTGCATTTCACAGTGCTCTATAACCAGGGTTGTTAGCTCAAAACAGAGTCAAATAAAAGACAATTGGATTGAATGGAGCACAGAAGTTATGGGTTCCTAGAGTTCCTAAAATCCAAAACCCTGCAGATGATCCACTCAGGACAACATGGAGATGGTTACCCCGAATGACGTCAGTCACTTGCCAGAAGTCACGGAAGTACACAATAATTAAGATTTAGATGCCTCTTTAGCTTTGAGTGGCAACAAGACACAACAGGCCTATGAGGTGTCAAGCAAAGCCTGGGAAATAAGAAAAAAACACAGACCAAAGCCAAAACTGGTAGTGACAGATAAGCAGGATACAATGTAACGGGCATGGAAGCAGAATAAAGTATCAGGAGCCAAGCCCAAAGTCCACTGGGTTGGGGGTGGGAACAGGGGTGAGACAAGAAGTCTAGACCCTCAGGAGAGGATTTTAGGGCAGAATGAAGTGTCAACCAGAGCCCATGACTTTCTGAGGTAGAGACTTCTCAGGCCCTGCCCATCACAAACAGCTCTTGGAGTGAGGTCAAATGCAAGCCAGAGATGGCTTCGGATCTGGGGAAAAGCAAATAGGAAGTGGTATGTGAAACTTCATGCTTTCTTTCTTGTATGGGAACTTCTTTTGTCCATTGGGAAACCAGGTCATGGTGAAAGGAATACCCTATGCAGCTTCCTACTGAAAGGGACTCAATACCAAAAAGAACTTAGCTGGAGTAGAAAGTGGGACCCAACACTGAAATGGAACTTTTGTTGTTATGTGGTGTGTGTGTGTGTGTGTGTGTGTGTGTGTGTGTGTGTGTGTGTGTGTGTGTGTGTGTGTGTGCTGAGACAGAATCTCATTATGTAGCCCTGGAACTCACTATGCAGACCAGGTTGGTCTTGAACTTGTAGAGATCTGCCTCCTTCTGATTCCACTTCCCAAAAGGGACATTTGTGCAGTTTCCTGAAACGGAGATCACACACTCTAGTGAATGAAAGTCATGATGTTGATGGAGAGACTCAGACATCTCACTTTTCTGCCATATAGAATATCCTTTTAAAGCATCCATATTTGCATTTGTTAAAATCCTCTCACTACCCTCCTGTGCCTTCCTTTTCCTTTCATTGGCAAATTTTTAATAGGGGTATTTTCAAATTGGTGAACATCAATGGTTAATGTGTTATTGAATTCCTATCTAACACATAACTAACACAATATTTGATACAGATAGCAAACCTCAAGGAATTCAAGTAAAATTTATTATATGCAACATAACATAAAACCTAGAAAAACAGCATGAGATTGTTCTTTGTTTGTTAGTTGGTTTTTGAAAATTTATCATTCAAAAAACTTGCAAGTAAATAAAAACATCATGCACAAAAATTAGCCAGACCCAAATCTGTATAACTCAACAGCTAGGCATTCAGAATGGAGGTCGTGAAGGTTCACGTTAAATTTTACATTTTCACTATCAAGTATGTTTTATGCACTTATCCACCACCCAAAACAAAAAGCCCATGACAGAGTTAGAACTAGGAAACAATTAGCTTTATGTCCTGTTTCATTACTCATATCCATTCCCTGAATTCAGTCCTTCCATTCCCTTGTATTTAACACATCTTACAGTATACTGTGAAGAGAACAAGAAACTGTCCAAACTTTTATCCTAATGGGTCGTTAGTGACAGCTTCAGCATTTAGACAGTTGGTAGGCCACCAGACAACAGAGTTTGAATTTATATTTCCTTTGCATCCTACTTCACTCTACTGAGCTTTTTAAAAATTTTTTTATTTATTATGTATACAGTGTTCTGTAAGCATGTATCCCTACAGGTCAGAAGAGGGCACAAGATCTCATTATAGATGGTTGTGAGCCATCATGCGGTTGCTGGGAATTGAACTCAGGACCTCTGGAAGACCAGCCAGTGTTAGCCGCTGAGCCATCTCTCCAGCCCCACTCTACTGAGCTTTGATGGGACAAAATAAGTGTGTAGCAATTGATTGCAGGCTAGACTATTTTGTACATAGGGAGTAATGATTTGGTTTGGGATGAAATATTCAGAAAGGGGCCTTTCTTCGTATATCTGTAGTGCTTTGTCAGAAAGCAAATGGTTTTCTTCTTTGGGAATGCTCCTGAAATGCTATTGCATCTGGGATATGCAATTTTTTAATTCCCCCGTTCCTTTAGCAAATTCCCTTTCCTCTGGCTTTTTCAAGAGTACGCTGCAAACGGCCTGAGGAAGAGTAGAGTGTCCTGGGACCCAAAGTGAAGAGACTGAGTTCCTCATGCCATGGTACCTAACTCGTCGGGTCCTATACCTCTCTGGGCTCAGCTTCCTCATCAGCACGTATCAGGAAAGATAGGTGCTCCGATCTACCGTCACAGCTTCTCATTTTAAGTCTAGTGATCTGAGATTCAAGTCATGCTTATAGAATCTGACAGATGAAATGTGTGTAAGTTTCAAGGAAATACTGCAAGGTATGTGCAAGTCTGGGTTCAAGCTGTTCCTTCCAAATACTATAGTTGTAAACTAAATAAAATACAAATATAGTTTGTGATGGCAGACCTATTTCAATATAGGTCTACCTATACTGCAGGGCAAGAATTTCCAGTCAGGCAGATTGGGTGGAACTCTTAGATTTAGTATGAAATTAAGACTGGATTAGGTGAAAATTTACATGCAAGTCATTTACATAGAATACAGTATTTTTAATATTAATGCTCTTAAACTATGAACTAGGCTTTTAATAATTATATTCCACTAAGCAGTGGAATATATGCACATATTTCATATTTCATAAGTTTTTAGTACTGCTAATAACCTGAAATATGGGTCACAGAAACCATAGCCAGCTCTTTACTGATCATAGATTTTATTCTATATGCTCTCCTTAATAACAGAGCAAAAGCTGATGTGTCTACCATGTCACCGAACATAAAAATACACTAATTTGTTTCTTTCTCACATTTTCCATGACACACAATTAATATTCATAACGGCAAAAGGAATTTTAATCACTTAAAATGCTTTATGGCCCATCAAAAATGATGTCATACTCAATTTGGAGTACATTTTATTGTATAGGACTATAAGCCTTTAATACTTTAAGGACAGCTTAGTTATATTCCTCACCAACATGAAGTTACTCCTTCTCAGTGCCTTGATGATCTGGAGGGCTAACAAGTTTGATGAGAACAATAGAAGAGCATTGGGATCAAAATAGAACACCTATTGTCTTCATGCAATTCATGTGGGGGAATGTAAAAGTCAGAGGAGAGGGAGAGAGGGACAAGAAGGCGGGATTCAGACTTGGACCAGAGTGTGGGAACACAGCAGAGGGCAGGGACCTTTTGTACAACTTCTTTTTTTTTTTTTTTTTTTTTCTCTCTCTGTAGAGCCCTGAGCGGATGCTCCGTTTGATAGCCTGGAGACTTCTCAGCCACCCAGGTTCTGAAGTCAGCTGCTTCATCATTTTAATACAATTTCCTAACAATTAGACACAGTGCTATATTCAACACAGTTTACTTTGTTTTTGTTGGTGTTTTGGGTTTTTTGAGACAAAGGTTTCTCTGTGTAGCCCTGGAACTTGAGATGTATCACGACTGGCCTCAAACTAAGAGATCTGTTGACCTCTGACTCCAACTACTAAAGGTGTGTGCCACCACCACCCAGCACTTAACTATTATTTAGCTACAGAAATGCAAAAGTCCAAATATGTTTGAATCTGTTGACAACTTTGTGGTCACATAAACCCACATGATGTAGTCAATGCAGAGCTCACAGATTCAGGTGTCATCTGAGTGTGTCACTTGAAGCTATGAAATTTTTATATTTCATTTCTTACCTGCAGAATAGGGTACCAATGGCATCTATTTCACAAGTTGGAAGACGACTAATAAGCAGATGTACAGCAAGGGCTTGGAAATACTGGGCTCACAGCAATTGCTAAAAAGTATTCACTAATTTGCTTTGTAATCAACTGGTATTTTGTTATGCCAAGTACCTAAGCTCTTTCTCTGTTCAGAGAACTATTAATTTCCCACCAGTGGTGGTTTGGATGCCAGAGGTCCCAGTTGCAGTGTTAATCATCCATAGTCAACAAGTCTAAAAAATTAAATGGAAAATTCCAGAAGTAAAAATTCCTACATTTTTAAATTGTATACTGTTGTTGACTAGTGGAGTGTGACAAAATGTGGCACTACAATGTAAATTCTTGTTCAGCATATTCACAGTGGACATAATACCCACATTAGCCGACTGATAACTATCTTAGATATCATGAACTATTAGATTATTTCAGTGTTTGTATTTGAGTAATCTTTAATGATTTGTCACTATTACAATTGCTCTATTTTGCTGAAAGTTACTATGGATGACTCATTTTGATTGTCAACATAAATTCAGAGATGCCTAAGGGGAGATGGTACATTAGCCTAGGGTACTTCCCAAGAGGATAGAATGTGGAAGAGTTCTGGAAAGACTCACTTTGAATAGGGGAAGCTAGTACCATCCATCATAGAGGACCTGGATGGAACAAAAGTAGGAAAAGAGAAAGCCAGCAGTGAGTTCAAGTGTCATTCTCCCTAAGTGCATCTGATGCTGCTGCTGTCACTACCCATGGGCAGTAACCAATCAATGGAGACTCACATCAGTGGCTCTCTAGCTTCCCAGCCTTCAGTCTTAGATTGGTACTGTGTCGCTGGTCTCCCCTTTTCTGGGGTTTCAAGTTTCATGGACTGAGGACTGAGGACTGAGGAACTACTGAGTTCCTGGCATCTCCTGTAGGCACACAGGTCTTGATGGACTATTCTGTCTCAAATCATGTAAGCCAACCAAGTAAATCTCTTTTTCATAACTATGTAGTATATTGTTTTTGTTCTTCTAAAGGACCAAAATATAGTTATTGTTGTTAATCTCTTACTGTATTTAACTTACAAAGATTAATGAATTCTAAGG